GTGAAAGCAGAACAGTCAACTTTGTACTGTGTAAGATTTCTGGGGAAACATTTACTTCTTCAACAGAAAACTTTCTTTATTCTTTAATGGGCCAATGGGTAGTGTGGATCCAAGAGCATCACCTGTGTCCAGCAGACCAAGTTCCTATGAAGTGCCTGGCAGCAAGTAGGCACTGCGTTAGGGAAACTGCTTGGGTGGAAGGTGATTGAAATGTCAGGAGGGTAATAAGGTTTGGGACAATGACAGGGAGATGGGGTAATCCATCCATCCATCCATCCATCCATCCATCCATCCATCCATCCATCTACCAACTCAGTCTAATGCCTGTCTTCTCAATTAGCCCAGTATCCATCTTGGCTCCAAAACAAAAATGGCATCTACTTCTCATTATAGAGAAGTTATAACTCCATTACTATTAGCCCACCAGAAGAGGTGCTCACGTTTTATAACAGCCAGTTTTTCAAGAGTAAACTCTTCATTTCCTTTGGCCACTGAACTGTTTCTATTTTGTCACTTGCTGTCTAGCCTCTACCTATGTTTTTGCTTGGCTTCTTTCCAGTCCTCTTCTCTCCAGCTATAAACTTGTGTTTATCTTCTAAGGCCCAATTCAAAGGTCTTCTTCTCTCTCTAACCTCTCTTGGGTAGGGAAAAATTAACAAACACTGTGGTGTGTTACATAACAATTTTACACTTCTTAGAGCAAGCACGAGGAATCACTGTTTTCAATAATGTTGGAAGTTGCTTTCCTAGTCTAGAGAAGCAAGTAATTGCAAGGAAAAAAGGGACCTTTGGTTTAGGAAAATACATTAGAGTGCTTTTTCATGACAAATAAAATACCCAAAGCTAGGGCTGGGAAGGTGGCTCAGTGGTAGAGTGTTTGCCTTGCATGCATGAGGCCCTGGGTTCGATTCCTCAGCACCACATAAGCAAAAAGGAAAAAGCCGGAAGTGGCGATGTGGCTCAAGTGGTAGAGTGCTAGCCTTGAGCTGAAGAGCTGAGGGACAGTGCCCAGGCCCAGAGTTCTGGCCCCATGACCGGACCCCTCCCCCCCAAAAAATACCCAAAGCTAATAAATATAAGTTCATGTTTCTATGATGCTCATAGGAATGTATTTTAATATAATAGATTAATTTATGGGGGGTGGAAATGTAGTTGTGGAGATGGGAGGGAGGGGATGGTAGGGAAAAAACAAAGGAGGAGGCAACAATGTTTGATAAGAAATGTACTCATTATCTTGCTATGAGATTGTAACCCTTCTGTACAGTATTTTCACAATAAAAAAACTTATTTAAAAATATATTAATTCGGGGCTGGGAAGGTGGCTCAGTGATAGAGTACTTGCCTTGCATGCCTGAGGCCCTGGGTTTGATTCCTCAGCACCACATAAGCAAAAAGAAAAAAGCCAGAAGTGGCGCTGTGGCCCAAGTGGTAGAGCGCTAGCCTTGAGCTGAAGAGCTGAGGGACAGTGCCCAGGCCCAGAGTTCAGGCCCACTACCGGACCCCCCCCAAAAAAATATATATTAATTTATTACAGGTCTTAAGATTTCCCCTTCACATTTCTTGGTATGTTACTTTATAATGGTTCACCCAGATATATCCATTATCTTAGGGAAAATTAGGATTTTTATTACAACATTAAAGCAGAAACAATATTCTGACATCAAATACTGACAACTGTAGCAAAATCATGGTTTCCAAAGTCAGACATTAGCACTTTCTTCTCTAGAAGGTGTTTCTGAAATCCTGAAAGACTTGGCTTCTATAGCTGAGGAGTCATTATTATCTGTGTGTGTGTGTGTGTGTGTGTGTGTGTGTGTGTGCATATGTACCAGTATGGGGGCTTCAACTCAGAGTCACTTGCTCATGGCTTGACTTTTTCAACTCAAGACTGTGCTCTACCAGAGGGGTGGTGGTGGAGAGATAGAGACAGACAGAGAGGATCAGCCAGGCATAGTTCCCCATAGTCTTTAAGTGTAGCCCAGATGTCATTCCAAAGGAAGGGAAGAAGAAAGGGGAAAGAAATTATGAAAGAATCTGCCTTATCCTATAGAGAGATGATTGTACTCCCTCTCCCCCAAATAATGCCTTTTAAAGGAAGAACTACCTTCAAATGCCCAGTATAAGGGTTTTCTTGGCCAGCCTCCAGTGGCTCACGCCTGTAATCCTAGCTACTTAGGAGGCTGAGATCTGAGGATTGTGGTTCAAAACCAGCCATGGCAGGAATGTCAGTGAGACCGGAAGTGGCACCGTGGTTCAAGTGGTAGAGCACTAGCCTTGAGCTGAGGAGCTCAGGGACAACGCCCAGGCCCAGAGTTCAAGCCCCATGACTGATAAGAAAAAAAAAGTTTTCTTACCATCTTACCATCATTTGCATTATTTCCAAATAGTTACTTTCTCTTGTGAATTTTAATGATGACTTAATGGTGATTTGAGCTTAAATGTTCAGTTTCTTCCAGGAGATGGCCAAGGGTATGGGATTCAGAGAAGTCAGAATATGGAAGAGGACGTGATCACTTCCAGACCCCGCAGATATACAGAGTCTGCAAAGTGATCATAATAGCAACAAGGTAGCAGCCATGGTGAGAGCTGGCCTCAAAATACCCACACCAGCATGCCAGGGCAGGAGGCTGGAGCGAGGGATGACGTCAACCACGTGTCCACTGTCAATCACTGCCAGCCACTGCCAGCCACGGTCCCGTTGTCCACTCCTGACTACTTGTCATCAGTTGTCTGGCTTGTCAGGAATCCTCAAAACTTCTGGGAAGATCATTACATCACTGGCCGTCCAGTAATGATGTCTGTAATGATTGCCCCAGAAAATTGAAGACAGGAAGACATTCATATGATTCATCAATAAAATCCACTTTCTTGGATTTTTTTGTCAGTCAAGGGGCTTGAATTCAAGGCCTGGGCACTGTCCCTGACTTTTTAACTCAAGGATAGTGTTCTTCCACTTTGAGCCCCAATTCCCGGTTTTCTTTTTTTTTTTTTTTTGGGGGGGGGGGGGGTCCGGTCATGGAACCTGAACTCTGGGCCTGGGCGCTGTCCCTCAGCTCTTCAGCTCAAGGCTAGTGTTCTACCACTTGAGCCACAGTGCCACTTCCGGCTTTTTTCTTTTTGCTTATGTGGTGCTGAGGAATCGAACCCAGGGCCTCTGGCATGCAAGGCAAGCGCTCTACCACTGAGCCACCTTCCCAGCCCCAATTCCCGGTTTTCTAGTGGTTAATTGGAGATAGGAGTCTCATGGACTTTCCTGCCTGGCCTGGCTTTGAACCATGAACCATGGTCCTTAGATCTCAGTGTGCTGTTAGCATGGTGCTTAAAGCAAAGTAAGAGTAAAAGAAGATACACACACACACACACACACACACACACACACACACAATTGTTGAATCTAAGAGAATTGAGACCTTGAAGGGGTAAGAGTGCCTTCTAGTGCATCTCTAGGTAATAACAGCCTGCAAACACCCTGCAAGCAGGCCACTTAAAGAATCTTTATTTTTTGTGTGCCTGTACAGGGCCTTGAACTCATAGCCTAGATGCTATGCCTTAGCTTTTTTTGCTCAAGTCTGGCACTCTACCATTTGAGCCATAACTCAAGCTTTTTGTTAGTTAATTGAATATAAGAGTCTCGTGGACTCTTTTGCCCAGGCTGGCTTTGCATCACAATTCTTAGCCTCCTGAGTAGATAAGATTACAAGTGTGAACCACCAGTGCTGGACTTCCATTCCTCTCCTCCTCTTCTTCCTTCTCCTCCTCCTTCCCTCCCTCCCTTCCTTCCTTCTTTCCTTCCTTCCTTCCTTCCTTCCTTCCTTCCTTCCTTCCTTCCTTCCTTCCTTCCTTCCTTCCTTCCTTCCTCCCTCCCTCCCTCCCTCCCTTCCTTCCCCTTCCCCTTTCTTCCTTCGTTCTTCTTCTTTTGTGCCAGTCCTGGGGCTTGACCTGAGGGCCTGAGTGCTATGACTGAGCTTTTGTGCTCAAGGCTAGGCTCTTCTACCAGAGCAACAACATCCCTTCTGGCTTTGTTGATGCTTTATTGGAGATAAGAGTCTCTTGGAGATAAGAGTCTCAGGGATTTTCCTGCCCTGGCTAGCTTTGAACTATGACCTTCAGATCTTAGCCCTCTGAGTAGCTAGGATTACAGGTGTGAACTGCCTTGTTGGCCAGAGGTCTTTTTTTGTTGTTGCTGTTGTTTTTGTTGTCAGTTGTGGGGCTTGAACACAGAGTCTGGGTGCTGTTCCTGAGCTCTTTTGCTCAAGGCTAGTCTTCTACCACTTTGAGCCACAGCTCTACTTCCAGTTTTTGAGTGGTTAATTGGAGATGAAAGTTTCACCGGGGGTCTGGGAAGGTGGCTCAGTGGTAGAGCGCTTGCCTTCAGCACCACATAAGCAAAAGGAAAAAAGCTGGAAGTGGCGCTGTGGCTCAAGTGATAGAGTGCTAGCCTTGAGCTGAAGAGCTGAGGGACAGCGCCCAGGCCCAGAGTTCAGGTCCCACTACCGGACCCACCCCCCCCCCCAAAAAAAAAAAAAGAGTTTCACAGGGACTTTTCTACCTGGGATGGCTTTGAACCCCAACCCTCAGATCTCAGCTTCTTTAGTAGCTGGGACTACAAGTGTGAGCCACTGGCACCCAGCTTCTTCTTCTTTTTTCTTTTTTTTCTTAACTCCAAATTTATCCACAGAAACTTTTAGGGGAAGAAGGATTTCCTATATAACATTATCAGATATAGAAAGGCTTTGCCACTGTTCCGACATTTGGTGTTTTGAAGGTCTATCATCTCCTTCTAGAGACTCCTCAGTGGAGGTAGTGACTGTTGACCCACATCCTCCCATCTCCCAAAGCAGGAACTTTTCGTCACCCCTATGTACCAAGCCTCCAGTGCAGGTGTCCCAGCAAGTTCCTCTACCTTCAGGCCCAGGCTGTGTGCTTCTTTACCCAGAGACAGACACGTGAAGTCAGAGAACTGCTCTGATTGGCTACATAGAGCAAGGGTCTGTTCTTTACCTCCATCTTGTTCCTTTCCCCTTCAACAGAGCCTAAGACTGACTTGGTTAAAACCCAGGAGGGCAATGGCCCTCTCTGTGGGTTTGATCCCAGGACTGTTCATGCTGATAACTTTCCTGAGCCCCCAGGAAGCTGGGGTCATCACAGGTGAGTGCTGAGGGCCCCTGGGAAGAGGGACTTAGGGATACAGCACAGAGGGCTGTTCCTTTCTCTTTCTGGTTTATGGACAACTTGCTCCACCTAGAGACTCCACAGCCCTTTCACCTCTACCACATCTATTCTGGATCTAAACAGAGGGGCTGCTCAGCCAATCATTCTACTGGAGTTTGTGTTCAGACTCTTCATTCTTTCCTCTTCTCTGAAACCCATTACCTGCTACAGCTGGAAGCACTCTGATTTCTCTACCTCTTCCTGGCTCACAATGTACCCTGTTAGTGCAACTCCATCACAGAATTTACTATTCTGTCTAGATATGAACTCCAGGTGTGCATGTCCACACTTGGTTTGTTTTTTGTTTGTTAGTTTGTTCATTGTTTTTGGCATATAATAGTCCAAGAACACTAAATAACTTCAGAGATCTAAAGTCTAAAGGAATCTGATCAAGGAAATGTGGCTCAAAATGTTAGAGCACTAGCCTTGAGCAAAAAAGCTCAGAGATGGGGCTGGGAAGGTAGCTCAGCGGTAGAGTGCATGCCTTGCAAGCATGAGGCCCTGGGTTCGATTCCTCAATACCACATAAACAGAAAAAGCCGGAAGTGGTACTGTGGCTCCAGTGGTAGAGCACTAGCCTTGAGCTGAAGAGCTGAGGGACAGCGCCCAGACACAGACCCAGACCCAGAGTTCAGGCCCCATATCCGGCAAAAAAAAAAAAAAAAGAACTCAGAGATAGTCCCCAGGCCCTGAGTTCAAGCCCCACAACTGAAAAAAAAAAAAAAGATTTATGAAGGAATCTGAGGGGCTGGGAATGTGGCTTGGTGGTAGAGTACTTGCCTAGCATACATGAAGCCCTGGGTTCAATTCCTCAGTACCACATAAACAGAAAAGGCCAGAAGTGGCGCATAAACAGAAAAGGCCAGAAGTGGCGCGGTGGCTCAAGTGGAAGAGTGCTAGCTAGCCTTGAGCAAAAGAAGCTCAGGAACTGTGCTCAGGCCCTGAGTGCAAGCCCCAGGACTGGCCAAAAAAATAAAAAGCAATGTGACAACTAAAATCTAACTTCTGATTTTTAGGAAATTGAGCACTTGGTGATGGGTTAAGAAATTTTCAGTACACACCGTCTGAGATAGAAGGGTAGGGGCATGAGCCTTGAAGTCCCGGCCTCTTCTCCCGTGCACTTCCTAATACCTCAGGCCACATTTTCCTAGCCTCCAGTCTCTGTGTGTCACAGAACTTCCTTAGGGTTCCTGTCAGTCATCACCTATTTTTCTTCCCTCCCTTAAGGTGCATCTCTGTCCTGAAAGTTTTGCTTCTGTGCCTGCCTTTAGTCATTTCCTTGTCAACCCTCCCCCTCCCCCATTCACTGTCTCTCACACAGGACCTGACAGCACAGCCAGAGAGGCTGTTCATGACGATGACCTAACTTTGGGAGCCCCATCTTAGGCAGCTCGTCTTCTTCCCAGCCTGGGTTGGCTCTGGTGTTCTGGGCATGTGCCTGGTGCCTCCATCTTCTCCAGCCCTTCCCACTGCAGCTCCTCTGCTCTGTGAGGGCCAGGCCAGTGTCAGAACGGACTCAGCCTCCACACGTGACCCCTGGACGTGGCCCAGGCTGAGACTCAACAAACACACCACCTATCACGGCTGAGTGATACCCTTTTCTCCTCTCTCTCCCTGGTCCTGTTTTCACTCAACACAGCTGATCACATGGGCTCCTATGGACCAGCTTTCTACCAGTCTTATGGTGCCTCAGGCCAGTTTGCCCATGAATTTGATGGCGAACAACTGTTCTCTGTGGACTGGAAGAATAGAGAGGCAGTGTGGCGGCTGCCTGAGTTTGGTGACTTCATGAACTTCGACCCACAGGGTGGGCTGACCAGCATCGCCATGATCAAAGTCCATCTGGATACCTTAGTGGAACGCTCCAACAGAACCAGAGCCATCAGTGGTACTTGACCCTCCCTCTGCCCCCACCCAGCCAGGCAGGGGAGGCCCAAAGAAGTATCTTCCTCCACCTAGCTCCCCCCAACTCTGCCACATTCTTGCCCAGTCCCCCCTCAGCACCCTTTTTCTCCTTGAGGCAAGATCCCCTTGGGACCAGGCACCTGGACACCCCCCCCAGAGATTAGCTGATGTCCCTCTTCCTCCCCAGTCTCCTTTCCCGCTGTCTCCTTCTTTCCTGCCCCCATGGTTAACATCCCCAGCACCTCCTGTCTGCAGAAAGCTAAATGGGAGGAAGTACCCCTTCATCCTGAGCCTTGCGAGGCCCAGATGTAATGGGGGTGAGCCTGTGGAATTCAGAGCCTTGTTCCTCCTAGTGCCTCCAAGGGTGACCGTTCTTCCCAAGTTTCGAGTGGAACTGGGCAAGCCCAATCTTCTCATCTGCATTGTGGACAACATCTTCCCCCCTGTGATCGACATCACCTGGCTGCGCAATGGTCAAGCCATCACCGAGGGAGTGGCCCAGACCAGCTTCTATTCTCAGCCTGACCACTTGTTCCGAAAGTTCCATTACTTGACCTTCGTGCCCTCCTTGGAGGACGTCTATGACTGCAAGGTGGAGCACTGGGGCCTGGACAAGCCTCTCCTCAAGCACTGGGGTAGGGAGACACCCCTAATCCATATTGCATTTCTTTTTTCTTTTTTTGCCGGTCTTCTGGGCCTGGGCGCTGTCCCTCAGCTCTTCAGCTCAAGGCGAGCACTCTACTACTTGAGCCACAGCACCACTTCCTGTTTTCTGATGGTTAATTGGAAAGTCTCATGGACTTTCCTTCCCAGGCTTGCTTTGAACCGTGATCCTCAGATCTCAGCCTCCTGAGAAGCTAGGATTGCAGGTGTGAGCCACCAGTGCCCAGTTCTATATTTCTTTTACTCTACAGTTCTTTTCCCAGCCTCCTGACCTTCCTTTCTCTTCCAGAGCCTCAGGTGTCTACCCAACCACCAGATACCATGGAGACCTTGGTATTTGCCCTAGGCTTGGCCATCGGTGTTATGGGCTTCCTCATGGGTACCATCCTCATCATCCTCAGGCACCACTATGGCTGATGCTCACAGGTATAGAAGCCTGAAGTGTGGCATTACTTTTCTAGGAGGGGGTGGAGGGGAAAAAGGTGGGCAACTCAGAATAGGATGGACTGAAGTGTCAGAGATTCTGAGGGGGAGAGAATGATTGGGGAAGAGTGGTGGAGACAGGCATTGGACAGGAAATAGAAAAGCAGAAAATGAGGTGAAGAAGTAAGTTGGGGGGGGAGGAGGTGGGCACTAAGAGGATCCAGAATTGTAAGCTTGAACGAAGTTGGTCTTAGGTGTTTTTCTACTTTAGGTGATGAGCTCTTGGAGAGAAGCAGATCATGGGAAATGATCCATGGATACCTCAAAGGTTTCAGGCCACATTTGCATGCTCAGCACCACAGTGAACTGAGTACGTCCTCACAGCACGGGCATTGAATGGTGTCAACTTCTGTCCTGTAGATCCCCTCCTCTTTGGCTCCAGTACTTACAGTGGGATGCTGGGGGCGCACTCAGCTTCCCTTCCTACTCCAAGCCCCAGTTGTTTTTGCTTTATCCAAAATGCTGGACAATAACCCTACATTTTCTAATGATGTGTGCGCTTTTTACTGTGTCTAGGCCTGTGCTCCCAGGTGTGAGGGATGCTGGGATCCTAAGAGGACGTGTGGGTAATAATGTATGAGCATGACTCTGTTGGCGGCCTTCTTCTAGACAGTGTAGTTGTGTCATATTGAATTTATCTGTTGTGTGCTTCTTTGTCCATGGGCCGTTTTTCAAGAATTTCATGAAATCTTTCTCCTGAATTCAGCTTTCTCTGAAAGTGATGCAGAGTGTCTTACTTATTACAACTTCTCCAACAAGTAACAGTTATGTAGGGTACCAGGGAGAGAAAAGGTTCATGGGAATGTCACCTGTGTCTGGATGTGATCTGAGCGGAGAGGCCACTGGCATCCAGTTATGACCTACGAAATCATCTTTGAATTTCAGGCATGACAAAGTGACACCCAAGATTTTCCTCAATAGGGTTAATCGTATTAGGAGAGCAGCAGAGTAGACTTGGAAATTTTCTTGTGCCCTCGGTACAAGGTCTAATGAATTCACCTGAGCACTATCTAAAAATGGGGCCTGGAGCCGGGCACTGGTGTCTCATGTCTGTAATCCTAGCTACTCAGAAGGCTGAGATCTGAGGATCGCAGTTGAAAGCCAGCCTGAGTAAGAAAGTCCGTGAGACTCTATCTCCAATAAACCACTCAGAAAACAGAAGTGGCACTGTGGCTCAATGGTAGAGTGCTCAGCTTGAGCTGAAGGACTCAGAACAGTGCTTAGGCCCAGAGTTCAAGTCCTACAACTGAAAAAAGAAAAAAAAAAAGGAGGGGGGCCAGGAAGATTTCAGTTAACTGTGAACAAATATTAAAACCCATAAGGAGGGGCTGGGAAGGTGGCTCAGTGGTAGAGTGCTTGCCTTGCATGCATGAGGCCTGGGGTTAGATTCCTAAGCAGAAAAAGCTGTAAGTGGCACTGTGGCTCAAGTGGTAGAGTGCTTAGCCTTGAGCTGAAGGACAGCACCCAGGCCCAGAGCTCAGGCCCCACTACTGACAAAACAAACAAACAAAAACAAAACAAAACAAAAAAACCAAACCACATAAGAAGATAAGTAACTACACAAGGTAATTCATGTCAGTTACCAAGAGTATAATACAGACGAGTGGTTTTCAAGCTGAAATGCACGTAAGAATCACTTGAGTTTTTTTTTTTTTTAATACAAATATCACCCAAAAGTATGGAATTAGGATCTCTGTGGGGAGTAGAGATGGTGACAGGGACTCTGCTTTTTTAATATGTCCAGCTGGGTCAGATGCTGCCATTCTGGCCTAGGCTGTGGTCTGTGACTGGACTCCTAACACAATCTTGGGCTCGTGGATCTCTGTTTTTTGTACCCATTACTTACTCTTCTTCGTATATATCCTTTCGTTTTCTGAAAGGGTGAATAAGGCAAGCTTTAAACAACAGTGTATATGCGCATAAAACCCAAGAATGGAAATAATTTCTATCAGAACGTCTATAACATTTTCCCATGGTCTTTTAGCTTCCAGTGCTATTGTTACAAAGTTAAAAAATAAGGACATTTAGTCCTAGAACTTTGTATAAATCTATTGTTTCTTTCCTTCTCTGGAAGCTTGAAGGATGTTTCTGTTTCTTTTTTCCCCCACCTCCTGTTATACATTCCTCTATAAGCGCACTCCATTATGGATGGGGTGAAAATCTTCCTCAAATTGTCTCTGCTGTGTCTCTTTAACCTAGTGGCTCCTTTGAAAACAAACTTTAAATCACACAAAACTTTTCCGTGTATGCTTGTGTCCTGCCCATGTACAAACTATTCTCTATGCAACATCTGCCATCTTTGCCAACTAATCAAGATTCTACCTGAATCTCCCAAGATCCACTTAAATGTCACTTCTATGAAGTCTTTCTGATTCCAACCTTAATATTCTGCTCCTTCCCTCCTCCTTCCCTTCCCCTCCCCATCTTCTGGGGTGTGTGTGTGTGTTGCTACTGAGATTTGAACTTAAGACTTGTGTTTACTAGGCAAGTACTCTACCACTTGCCTACCATATGTCCCTAGCTCTTTTGCCCTAGTTTATTTTTCAGATAGGATCTGCATTTTGTTTGGGGTTGGCCTTGGACCATAATTCTCCTACCTCCACCTCCTGACTAGACTGAATTACAGGTGTGAATTACCATACTTAGTTTGCCCATTCTTGCTCTGGAAATACTAGATTTTTCCATGTGTCAGGACTATGTATGTATGTATCTGTCCTTAACACTACTATAGCTCTAGAAAAAGGGAACTTTGTCTATTTCCAATACTTGGCATATTCTGGTTATACTATTCTACTTGCTTCAAATCCAGCCTGCTTTCCCTGCTTTGAAGTTAGTTTCTTTTTTTTTTAACTGAATTTTTTTTTGTCTTTTCTTTTTTGGTACTGGGGATCGAACCCAGGACACTGCACTTGCTAGGCAAGCGCTTTGCCACTGAGCTACATCCTAGCGCTGAAGTTAGTTTCAATAACATTTGATATTGTTTACTGCGTATGCACGTCACACACACACACACACACACACACACACACACACACACACACACCAGGTCTTGTAGCAAATGCTTTTTTGTGTAATAGCTTTGCATCTTTTGGGCTAAGAAAATTAGAGTGTAGTATATCAAGTGCAAGAAATAGTATATTTAAAAAAAATGATCTTAGGGGCTGGGAAGGTGACTCAGTGGTAGAGCGCTGGCCCTGCATGCCTGAGGTCTTGGGTTCGATTCCTCAGCACCACATAAGCAAAAAGAAAAAAGCTAGAGGTGGCGCTGTGGTTCAAGTGGTAGAGCGCGAGCCTTGAGCTGAAGAGCTGAGGGACAGCGCCCAGGCCCAGAGTTCAGGCCCCACGACTGGACCCAAAAAATAAAAAAAATTTAAAAAAATGATCTTAAACCTGCCAGGTGTCAGTGGCTCATTTCCTGTAATCCTAGTTACTTGGGAGAGTGAGAATGCAAGAATATTGGTTCAAGGCCACTCTAGGCAGAAAAGATCAAAAGACTTCATCTTCACGGAGGGAAGCTGGATGTGGTGTCAATATGCCTGTGATCCTAGCAATGACAAGGAGCCTAAGGTAGGAGGATTGAGACTCAGATACACATCTGGGCGGAAATAGCCAGCAAAAGACAAGGATGGAGGTATGGCTCAAGTGGTAGAGCAGCAGCCCAGCAAGCATGAGGTCTTGAGTTTAAACTCTAGTACCATCAGCAAAAAATACAGTCAGGTGTCAGTTGCTCATGCCTGTAATCCTAGCTACTCTGGAGGCTAAGATCTGAGGATCATGGCTCAAAGGCAGTCTGGGCAGGAAAGTCCACCAGAAAACTGGAAGTAGCACTGTGGCTCAAATGGTAAAGCACTAGCCTTGAGTTGAAGAGCTGAGGGACAGTGCCCAGGCCCAGAGTTCAAGCCCCATGACCGACCAAAAAAAAAAAAAAAAGAGAGAGAGAGGAAAAAAAAGAAAGAAAAAAGAAAAATATAATAATCTTAAACTTGATTCAAAATTTCCTCCCTATCCTAACAATGAGGCTGACTTAAATTTGATCTCAGTCATTTTTTTAGTGTTTCTCTTCCTCAAGGTTGTTCAAAGGGCCTTTGCCCTGACATAGTGCTGAGGCCCTGGGAAAGTCTCTTCCTTCCTGCCTTAGTCTAGATTGGTTATTCAAGCATATTGATGGTTACTTAAGCAGTGAGGCATGCTGGGTCTTCATCTCAGTGGTTTTAAGTAGCAGCTTGGTTGCTTTTAGCTCAGGCCTCAGGCAGGGAAATCTATAGTAAGGGGTGATTCAGTGTCTACAAAGAAGCACACCACTGCCTCTTTCCTTCTCCCTTGGAGGCCTCCCTATCTACCTTTGGTGCTACAAGGAGCAGGATTCTCTTAGGACACACAGACCATGGTGCCCTCTTCAGTTTGGGAGGACCTCTCCCTCTCTGCTTTGTCTTACTGTATTCCAAGGCATGCACCCTCTTGCACTTTTTAATTATTTTTTAGTATATTTGGGACATAATGTCAAGCATGCACTGGACTTCAGGAAATTCAAAGAGGAAGGGCCTAATAGGTGGACATCTGCTAGGGCCTTGTATCACAATCCCCAATATAAGAGAAGATCAAAGAAAAGCATTATTCAGCTATGACTGCAATATTTTCTCTCTTCCTTACAACAAATCTGCAAGTTGAATATAATTATCCTTATTTTATGGAGGAGAAACTGACATTCAGATTACTTAACTTGCCAAGGTCAGATCACTAAGTGGAGGTTGGGAAGGTCTCTCTAGTGCCAGAATCCATATTGCTCTCTGTTTAGCACTGCACAGAGCAAATGCAATGACCTTCAGCACTGCTAGGAAAGGTCTACGAGGAGAGTTCACCCCCTTTGGCAAATTAATTTCTGTTGAGGCTTCAGCAAGGACATCAGGAAATGGTGTGAAGCTGCAAAATGGCCAGGTTACAGAATCACTAAAGAGTTGTTTGTATATGTGTGTGTGCATGCATGCATGTGCTGGTTTTGGGGCTTGAATTAAGGGTCTGGGTCATATCCCTTAGCTTTTTTTGCTCAAGGTTAGCACTCTACTATTTGAGGCATGGCTCCACTTCTGGCTTTTTGGAGATAAGAGTCTCATGGATTTTACTGCTATCGGATGTCCAACAACTGAAGAGATTTTTTTTTTGGTCGGTCGTGGGGCTTGAACTCTGGGCCTGGGCGCTGTCCCTCAGCTCTTCAGCTCAAGGCGAGCGCTCTACCACTTGAGCTACAGCGCCACTTTCGGTTTTCTGGTGGTTTATTGGAGATAGGAGTCTCACGGTCTCTCCTGCCCGGGCTGGCTTTGAACTGCGATCCTCAGATCTCAGCCTCCTGAGTAGCTAGGATTACAGGCGTGAGCCACCAGCGCCCGGCTTGAAGAGATTTTTACTTCTGCCTGTATAATTTATGTATTTTCTCTTGTTCACTTTCTTGTTTCAAACATATCTAGCTGGGCACCAGTGACTCATGCTTATAATTCTAGCTACTTAGGAGGCTAGGATCTGAGGATCACAGTTCAAAGCCAGCTTGGGTAGAAAAGTCCCTGAGACTCTTATCTATAATTAACCACCAAAAAAGCTAGAGATGAAGCTGTATCTTCAAGTGGTAGAGCACCAACTCT